CTGTACCTTTTCACTTTTATTATTGCATTTAAAAAAGAAAGTCCCTATGATTTTTTTTCCCAGTTTTTGGGTTTCCACTTTGTCATGTAAGTACCTTTCCATTTTTATATTTGCATAAAAAAGACAAAGATCAAGAGGCTCCAGTCTGCTTAAAATGGTGGTTTATCGGATCATGATGCCATGAAATTTCTAATTACATGTAATTGCTCTTTAAGTCAGATAAAAAAAATATGAGCGCAATGTGTACAATTTATCTCATATCACAAATTTGCACGCATATTACTAGGGGTGCACTCAGTCCGAATACGGCTCAGATATGATGCTTACCATATTCATATTCGCTTACTCATCTCGGATACGGATATGTCTCGGTAAGGAAAATTCATAACTATATCCGTTAAAATCGGATACGGTTACGGATATACATACAGATATATGAGCGGATATGCATGCGGATACAAAACGGATATGAGAAAACTAGATAGTATGGAGAAAAATCATAGTTCATGTGATACAAAAGAGTTCGTTAATATGTTCATTATAATTGAAAAGTTAAGATTAGACATATGATACAAAAGAGTTCGTTAATATGTTCATTATAATTGAAAAGTTAAGATTAGACATATTGATCATCAAAATTAATCACAAATTCATAATCTAAGGAAAAGTTAAGATTAGACATATTGATCATCAAAATTAATCACAAATTCATAATCTAAGAATCGAAACTATTGTAAGAGTATGACTAATATGTATTCGGATATTTCGGATACGGATATATATATTTAACTACAAAACCATATCTGTAACCATATCCTATCGGTTATAGATTTGAGTAACCATATCTGTATCCTAACAGATACGGTTACAGATATTTCCTCAAATATGAATACGGTTTAGCACCCTTACATATTACACAAGCTAGGAATTTTTAGATCTTGCAAAAACCCTAAAAAACCACCAAACGCAGCAAATAAAATCACACAAGATTTAACATGGAAAACCCTCAACAGGGAAAAACCACGGGATCAAAATTAATCCACTATCACCTTCAAATTACAATCTTTTGCACGGACAAAGACTGTCAAACCCTCTCTCACTCTTTCTCTCTACACTTCTTCTCCTAACAATAGAAGGATATATATAGAGACACCAAAACCCTATCTCTAGCCTAACTTCCTAATTAGAATAAAATTCAACTCCCAATCATGATGGAATCCGAACTCCTAATCATGATAGATCACTAACCTTATCTATTTCTCATGAAGTTATACAAAGAATTAAAAACTCTATCCTAACTTGGAGTTTGAGTAGATACCCAATATATCATCACTCGACGAAAAATCTCCAAGCGTCTCAACGACTTCAGAAAAACTCACTCTCTTCATCTTGTTCTTCACCTCTCCCTTGTGGATAAGAGTCTGAGAAGAGTAATCTGCACCATTAACGGATCGCCCATCTAAATAGCAAATATGATTGCTACTCTTCCTCCCTCGCAAAATCAAATCGACATCTCTATACACATTGTACCATTCTCCTTCACCCACATACTTGTACCCACGTGATGTCATCTCACCCAACGAAATTAAATTAGCACCACATGTCGGCACATATATCACATGATGAAGAATTCCGACCTTCCTAGTGTGAAGTTTGAGGCGAACACTTCCAACACCTTCAACCTTCATCTTCTCGTTGTTTCTAACAATCACGTCGTCAAATTATTCATCTATCTTCAATGTGTTAAAATAATTTTTATTGTTGCAAATGTGCATAGAGGTTGCAGAATCTAACACCCAAGTGTTACTCGCATCAGTACTTGCACTCTGCATCAATAAAACCACATCTTCATCACACACAACCACTGAAGAGTCCGTCTTCTTCCCATTTTCTCGAAGCTTCATCTGTCTAATACTTTTCAAATCATCACGCATCTGGGAACATCTGAACTGAATGTGACCCTTTTCTCCGCAATAATATCACTCTTTTTCGTTGTCGTCTTCGGCCCGAGATTTTGACCTTCCTCGATAACTATCACATCTCCCCATACTCCTCCCTCGATTAGACCCTTTAAAAGCTAGTGCACTCTCACCACCATTAGATGTGCTCTCCTTTCCCATCATTCTTTCATTCTCATGTATGAGAGCTGTCACATCATCGAACTTCAAAGTCTGCTTCCCTGCAATTATCGTCTGAACTAACGGCTTGTACGACTTTGGCAAGGAAGACAATAGGAGTAACGCCTACTCTTCTTCTTTAATCTCCTCATCAATATTCATAAGTTAGCAACCTAGCTGATTAAAGGCATTGATGTGATCTTGAATTACATCTTTCATCTTCAACGAATAAAGCTCCATCCTTAAACACAATCGGTTGGTCATCGACTTCAATGCATAAATCCCCTCGAGCCTTTCCTACAGCCCCCTTGGTGTGCTCTCTTGCATAACATTGTACATCATCTCGGGGGCGAGTGCCAAATGAATTGTGCTAACCGCCCTCTTTTGTATGGAACTCCATTCAACATCCTTCAATCCTTCAGATTTCTTCTCCTCCAAAGCTTGATCAACACCTTGCTGCACAAAAATATCTTGAACCGTGCACTGCCATACTGCAAAATTTGTCTTGCCATTGAATAGCGGAATATCAAACTTCGGACCCGAAGAAGTCATCATCCTCTAACCATGATCAAAATTCAAATCAGTCACTGTAGAGATTGAATTTGATAAAACCAACGTTAAAAACGAACCCAGCACGTCGAAAAACGTAGGAACAACTCCTGGATCACCAAAATCCGCCCCCAAATCCTCGATCAAAAGACAAATCAACCTCAAACGTTGGATCTGCCACCGCTACAGTACCAACCACTACAGTATCATGAACAGTGCGTCACCGTGAATAGTTCCATCACTACAGTACGGTGGTGAACAGTGCTGTTGCTATAGTTCCGTTGCTACTAATGTCATTGCAAATCTCGAATCTCCACGAACCGTCGAACCCCGCTCTGATACCACTTGTAGGGATTTTTAGATCTCGCAAAAACTCTAAAAAATCACCAAACGTAACAAATAAAATCACACAAGATTTAACGCGGAAAACCCTCAACATGAAAAAACCACGGGATCAAAATTAATCCACTATCACCTTCAAATTATAATCTTTTGCGCGGACAAAACCTGCCAAACCCTCTCTCACACTTTCTCTCTACACTTCTTCTTCTTCTCCTAACAATAGAAGGATATATATAGAGAAACCAAAACTCTATCTCTAGCCTAACTTCCTAATTAGAATAAAATTCAAACTCCCAATCATGATGGAACCCAAACTCCTAATCATGATAGATCCCCAACATTATCTAATTCTCATGGAGTTATACAAAGAATTAAAAACTCTATCCTAAATTGGAGTTTGAGTAGATACCAAACACATTCAATTCACTAGACAAAAAGCCCTTGTTGGCGCTTTTTAAATAAAATAAACAGCTTACTTTCGGGACTTTCAATTCACTGATATTTCGAGTGATAAAAATTAGTACTTCCGGGAGTTAAGGTGCTCTTTTTCATCATCAATGCACATATCCCCAGAATTTGATGATTTACATGAACTTACTTAAGCTTGGTATTTTTTATATTGGATTAATTTTAGCTCTACTTATGACGTCTCTATACCTTTAGGATGTTCAACAAGGAGCTTCCACGTCACTTGCAAAAAACAAAAAAGGAAAGAGATCACGAACAAACTGAATTGCCAAGGTATGCAGAGAGATCACATAATCAACACCTGATACTTACATATATATTTCTTCAATTAACATTTTCTCTATTATGAATTCTGCATTAAAATGTGGAAAATTCATCTACCTATAAGTTCAATATATCTGAAACAGAAGTAAATAATGGTGAAGAAGCTGAAAATTAAGTACAAGAAAGTCACATCCCTGAACAAGAATCAGATTGGTTTTTAAAATTCATGTTTGTTTTCATTTTCAGCCATCTCCAAAGCGTTACTCATAGGATATACATAAAATCATTACAATATGAAACATAATGAAACAGCATGCACAAAATTTCTGCTAAACTTGGACAGAATTCGTCCGAGCTTGGATAACTTGAGCTCTCCAAGCGAAAAATTGTCGACAACAAGAATTGATTCCCATTGCAATCCCAAACCCAGCAAAAGATGCAAACAGGATTGCGAAAACTGCTTTCAGTTGAAGCTGCACGAAAGATGAAAAGATATCAAAGGCTTAAAAAATAGAATGCTTGAGACATTAGGAAGTATTGTTCTAAAGAAAAAGCAGATGAACTGAAGTAGGCTTTTAACTCCCAAGAACTCAAACTAGGTCTTCCAATCATTCATGTACCATTAATTAAGCCTTAGGTTGTAATTAGCTGATACTTGGATCAGCAAAACAATAATCATGAAATAAGACATAAACCGAGGGGGTTTTACATGAATTAAAATAGTTGAGCAGGGATTTCT